GAAGGATTGGTGAAGGAGCTTTCGCAGCTTCAAACTACATTGAAGCTTCAATTGCAAACTGCCCAAGAATCTTACAAGGCGTCCGCGGATAAATTTCGGAATCAGGCACCTAAATTCACGATTGGAGACAAAGTTTGGCTGCTTCGACGAAATATTAAGACCAAGCGGCCATGTGACAAATTGGACTATCAGAGATTGGGACCATTTGTTATCCAGAAGCAGATCAATCCTGTAGCGTATCGTCTGGAGTTACCAACTACTATGAAGGTACATCCTATCTTTCATGTTTCTTTGTTGGAGCCTTATCGAGAATCGTCTTTTCCTGGAAGAGTACAATGTCCACCACCTAGCATAGAAATAGAGAACCACGAAGAATACGAGGTAGAAAAGGTCCTGGATTCACGGCAAAGACGGGGTAAATTAGAATACTTTGTGCATTGGAGCGGTTACGATATTAATGAACGAACATGGGAGCCGGCTGAAAATCTCGCGAATGCGCTGCAAAAGGTACAGGAGTTTCATCGACGATATTCTGAGAAACCCAAGCCGGTTCGACGATAGCTTCTTACTGAAGCTTGCTCATCCAGAAAACAGAAAAGAGGAGAGAGCACCACCAAAATCCATAGTTGATGTAGTCATTCTCTCCAAGATAGCGTAGAACTTTGTTAATAGCCCAAGTTTATTCTTATTGTTTTAGCCTTTGAATATGGATAGCCAAGATACTACACTTGTCATGTCATCTCAAGCAACTAGCTCACGAAGACGACCGCGAGATGAAGAACCGCCTGCACCACGACGACGTCGAAGGATTCCGAGCAACAGATCGCTGGTGATTGTATTTGAGGTCGAGCTTGCCTACAATGGTCAGCCAGAAAGAGTGTTTGCAGGACAATTTCACAATGAAGATACGGAGGTTCATACTTGGTCGGAAGTTGAAGGCGTGGGCCACTACCGTTGGCTTCAAGGACCATTGAATCACTTGCCTCGTGAACAACAATTGGAGTTCATAGCAGAGGTTATGCGACAGATCTTCATTTTCTTCCGTTGGTATTGACTGACGATAACATTGCTTCTCGGAGACCTCGAAGCTAAAGAAGGAGGTGATGTTGGGGACATAGTCCTTAGACCTTTCTAGATACAAGTTTCTAGAACCTTCTAGAAAGAAGTCTATAGAAACTTCCAGAAGATTTCTTGAATATTCTCTTAGAATATTCTCCAAAGATCCCCTAAAGATTCTTTTAAGATTCCCTAAGAAGACTCTAGAAGATTCTTAGAATATTCTAGTAGATTCTAGGAAGTTACTTGAGAAGCTTCCTAGCTCTTGGGTAGTTGCTCGAGAAGCTTCATAGTTCTTGGGAAGCTTCTTGATGCGCTTCCTTAGAACCATAGGCCAGTAGTATATATAAGAGTCGAGGCTGAAGAGTTCTTCGGTCTCGATAACACATCTCTTGGAGTTCTAGCTCACCTTTCTGGTGTTGTTCTTGTACTCATCTGTTTAATCTAGTTCTGCCACTTCTTCTTGAACTTCTTGTTTAGATTTCTTGTTTGTATTTTTGGTCCGTGACACGTATTGATCTTGTATTCTTTAGATTTAATCAAGTTGTCGTTAACTTTCTTATTGAAACTCTTCTATTCAACTTCTTGTTTAGTCTCTTATATAGTATATTTATGATACTTATGTATAAGAAAGAGCATAATAGATTTTGTCATACTTTTACATTTTAATTCCTAATTTTGATATTATTTTGATTGTATTATTAGCCAATGCACACATTAGCAAGATTTTGGTTTCTTTATTATAGATCTAAGATGCTTCTTGGATAATATTCAAGATTATTTTAATAATGACTTTATTAAGAATAAATATTATCAATGAACTCACTATAATTTTTAAACAAAATAAAAGATTTATAGGAAAAAATTGCCTTCACAACAACACTAATAATGCACTAGTTTATTATAAATAATATGTATTTAAGGCAACTAAGAATTTATTAGGTCTACCATTAGTATTGAAGTTTCTAAATTTTCTTCAATATATACCTTGGTTCTAAAAGTAATATCTTATATTATTTACAATCTCACTTAGACCATTGGTTAGAGCTTGATAAATAAGTAAAGTTAATACTAACATGTTTTCAATTGAAAAAAATAATAAATAGATAAACAAATAAGACACTTTATTCAACTATCTCTCTATTATGTAGCATTTGCTATAGATCTATCATTAGTTGGCCATGAGTCCATGACTCCATTCAATACTCAACTTATATATTATGCACATACATCAAGATGACAAAATTTATTCAATATTTTGAATTAAAAATTCATAATATTTTTATTTTTTTATTATAAAATTAATATTTGTAAATTACCAATATAAAAATTCTATTGTAAATATATGAATTCTAATTTTATTATTATTATCTACTTTTATTTTTTTATAAATATTTGATATTATAAGGATTTAATACTTTTAAAATTTCTACAATAATAGAACATTCTTAAAAAATCAATATTATAAAATTATAATAATAAAAATAATAATCATAAATTTTATAAAATTAGATACGGTTCTATGAAGTTTAGAACCATATACAAACTTTATGAAAATAATTTTAAATTATCTAATAAAACTTAACTATCTCAGTAGAAACATCATAATTTTAAATAATGAACATGAAGATTTAGGTTTTTAGAATAAAAAGAAGGTCTTATCATTATGATGAATAATACTTTTATGCTTTTGACATTTTGATTTTCAAAGGAAACCTTTTTTCTTTTAAATAGTAATAAAATAGTAATTAAAAATCCGACTTTCACTTCCATTATGAAAAAAATCTAAATTACATAGACCAATCTACCCAAATAAAACAAATTTTATTTGATCCAATATTTAAAATGAGTTTCAAATTGTTAACTGACCATCCTACAAATATAAAATTACATTTTGGATTAATCATATTAGTATAAACAATTAAATTGAACAATTGAGGTGTACTTGTGAATGTTTACATCCTTTATAAATTATGTTAATACTCTGTTTAAAGTCCAATGTTGTATTTGTTTCAAGGATGCTTTCATTTTTTAACATATTTGGGATGCAATGAAAAATTAAAGATTTACAACTCTTAGGATCTATAAATGCTTAGTGAAGAATTTTTTTAATTAAATTCAGTAATAATAAGCAGTTAACATGATTACAGTTGATGTTATACAATCAAAGTTCTATGAGTGTTTTCTGTTTTTTTAATGATATATATATATATATATATATATATATAGATAACAGTTTAAATTTTAGTATTTATTATCATATATATATATATATATATATATATATATATAATTCTTAAGTAAAAAATGTAAAAATAAATTTATATTTCATAAAATATTGGATTATGGATATCTTTTAATATGATTGATTTCTTCAAAATTATACAAGTTTTTGTGAAATCTCTCGATGATTATTGAATTGACTTAGTTTTAATATATTCATGTGGGCATCTTGATTTTCATATGTACATATAAACTTATATTTTCATAAATATTCCATTTTTTTATCAAGTTGCTTTTTGAAATTATAGTATCTCTTTATTTATTGGTAATCTAAAGTTGTAGTTATTACATCTATCCAACATATACTTACAAATATGTCTATCCACCCTTGATGAAGAATATAGTAATCATGATGAATGTGATTGGTTTTTATTGGTTGCAGTTCCAATTGTAGAAAAATGAATGTAGATTTCATTTATTTTGTTTTGTTTTATTTTTTTCATGATGGTTTAGATGGGTGGGTTGATTTAGTAAAAACTTGGGTCTATTTAACATTTCCCTTTAAAAAATATATAAGTAACAAGCTAAGTGATAATTGAGTTCTAAATAAATTTGATTAGAAAGTAGAAGTATTTACCATAAATAAACTATAATATCAAAATATCATAGAAAATATTGCAAAATTTTTATATATGATTAGTTAAAGTTTTTAATTTTTTTTTAATGATTTTTTCAAATATTTCAAAATATTGTGCCATAATCATTGTTAAACATTTCAAAAAAATATCAAAAAATATCAACCTATCATACATCATTTAATACTTATTCAATTAAGAAATTAACTAAAATTAATGGTTATTTAAAAAAATATAGAAAATAGATACACATAATCAAATTCTAATGGAAATTATAGTAATTATGTCTATGATTAGATATTTTTATAGGTAATTTTCCTAATTATCTTTTATTCCAAGTGACTAAAAACTTGAACTACAAGTACATTTGTGCAAGTGTAATTATTTAAGTATTTATATTTGTTTTTATGTCTTGATATTTTTTGCAATTTATATGTAAAAATCAATTTGTGCCTTGATCAATTTTATTCTTGTAATTCAAATACATCTTCATGAGTTTTAGCACTTTTCATAATCAACAAATTATCTATTTGTTAGAATAAAAAACATAAAAACTTATTGTGTTCTATAACTTTCTATTTGTTTTCATACTCTACAACAATAGAAAGAATTGAAATTGAGATAACTTTAAAAATTCTTTTACAAGTATTAGTGATAAAACAATAGTACTAAAAAAATATATATATATATTTGAATGTGGTGTTCGTAAATTAGTAATAAAACAATAGTACTAAAATATATATATATACATATATATATATATATATATATTTGAATGTGGTTTTCGAAAATTAGTGATAAAACAATAGTACTAAAAAATATATATATATTTGAATGTGGTTTTCGAAAATCCAAATTGTGCATACCGACACATAAAAAAAATAGTTGCATTTCCCTGCCTTCCTTACAAAATACATTTAAAATTTTCTTCGTACCGTGAAGAATGCTCCATTTTTCTCATCACCACTGAGAAAAGGGACACAGACCCATAGGACTATTGGACTGTGAAATGGTGAAACACTATCTCATGCAATATTATAAAACCAATGAAAGTGAGAAGAAGGTCGGGGAGAACAAAAAGTGATATCTCAAAGTTTTAAGGCATACTAATGAATGCTGCACCACTATTACAAATTTATGCTGCTGCAAATCTACCATCCAAGAAAATACACAGAAGGGGAATCTACATTCAGATTTAAGACAACAATCGTGTGCAGAATTGGACTCCACAAACTCAGAAGTCTAAGGAATTGAATAATTCTCATTAATGTATAACACAATTACAGCCTAAGATTGAGTCTTGGCAGCCACTTTCTCCTTGGACTTCTGGATCTTGAGAACCTTCTTAACAATTTTCTGCTCCTCCACCAGAAAAGCCCGGATAATGCTGAATCACACAATGATTGGAAAATTAAGCAATAACTAAACATCACATGTTAAGTGTAGACTAAAGAAATTGCAACAACGCATTATGTCTATAAATCATGAAAACTTCAAAGAATAATCCTGTCCCAGCATCTCTTGCCTAAAATTACCACTAGCAAATGCGTCGCCAGGTTCAAGAACTATACCAGGGAAAATCAACAAAAGAAAGTAAAGTGAAGGCGTGTAACTATTGCGAGGCTATCCTCACCAAAAAAACTCACTTATCTCAACCACGTTCTAAATGTACACGAATGAGCTTCAGGAAAAGAAAAAAAAAAAAAAAAGGGAAAGATAAAACTAAAGGGAGTGTTCGAAAGAGCATACCGCTCACGAACTGCAGAACCAGACATGTTGCCTCCGTAAGCCCGGTTAACAGTTTTTCTGTGCCTGTGAAGGCGAGATGTCTTATACTCCGTGGGCCTCAAGTGAGGAATCTGTCAGTTAAAGCAAAATTTAGGGTATGCAAGGAGGTGATAAATATTACAACAGACTCAACAATACTCCGTTCGATAATAGGAGAAGTTGGACAAGCAATACTTCACAAGGAAAAACATAAAAGCCAACCCCATTTTCTATTTCAAACGACTAGAGCTTTCCAAGGAGCGGGCGACACAGATACGCATTCCCAACCACCATTGAACTTGACTAAACCCTAAACTTACACATCAAAGTCCGCCCGACCTAGACAAGCAAAGCCAATAAGAGATGGTACTAACCCCAGCAATGCGCTTTCCGGTAACTGGACATTTCGGGCCCCTCGCCCTCTTTATGGCTGTCTGGAAGACATTCTTACCACCTACACCCCGAAACAGGCGAACAATTCAGTCCATTCATTGCAATCCCAAATTCCTCTAGTCGGAAATCCTCCGCTACTTCAAGCGCACCAATGAACACAGAATTTCCAATGATTCGAAATACCATATCCTCAACAAGTTCTAACAGCAATGCCGACCATTAGAAAAGCTGATAATACTTGTTTGACCTGAAAATCACACGGAAATGAAGCAAAAAACTAACCAGGGGTTTTGACCACGCGGGTCTGATTGGACTTGGAGGCGTAGCAGTGACGACGACGGTAGGTCAATCGCTGAACCATGATGGAAGACCTCGGCGAAGGCTGCTTCTGCAGAGATGGCGATGGCGGGACGCAAAGAGGGCAAGCAATGTCTTTGCTCTCCTACTGCACGCCGCCCGAACCCTAACTTCATTCACCCATTTCTCACCTAAAACTCTCCCATGACACATCCATGTACCTGTTCCTCTCATTCCATTAAAAACTGTTTGGATTTATTCTACTTCTTCTCTCTCTTTTTCTCAAGGTTACATTACAGATCAAGTATCAATGTTATGAAAACAAATAATAATAATAATAATATAATGATGATAATTAATGTATTTTTCTTAGGGAAATGTTAAATAGACCTAAGTTTTTACGAAATTGATTCACTCATCCAAACCATTATGGAAAAAGTTAATAAATAAAAAAATAAATAAAAATTGAATTTAGATTTATTTCTTCGCTATTGGATCTACAACCAATAAAAACCAACCACATTCATCATGATTACCATAATCTTCATTAAAGATGGATCTATTTAGTATAAGCATGGATCTATTTAACATTCATTTTTTATTATTGCTAAAATAAGAAAAATAATAAACTTACAATAACATAAGAATATTTTTCTTTCTAATTAACTAGATAGAAATTAAAATTCAATTTCGGTTTAATATTTTCATTGGATAGTTCATAAAAAATAAAAATAAAATACAAACTACATAAAACTATGTTTTTTAGACCAATAATATAAAATGAATGTTAATATAAAAACTACATTTGAAAAGTGAATCCAAAGGTTCACTAAACCTTGTGTAGGTAAGAAAAGAAAAAAAAATATCATTTAAATGCACTTTATTATTTTACGTTTAATTAAGGACAACTTGGAACTATGCAATAATGATTAGAATAAATAAAAAAATAAAATCTTAATATAACCAAAACATTCTATAAAACATATAATAATCAAAGAAATATTGTCAAGTTTTAAAATCAATTTCATCACAAAATAAAAACAAACATGTATGATCTAAATGACATAATTTATTAGAATATGGAAATTCAAAAAATGTTTATACCAAGGAACGACTATGTTAACTTATTTACTACAATAATAAATAAAAATAATTTTCAATCTCATAACTACAAAAAAATAAAATCTTCTAAAAAAAATAAAGAAAAAATACTCAAAATTTTTAATAAGAAAATATAAAAAAAATAATAAATAAAAAAAGTACATAGAGTATTTGGAATTGCAAAGTGGTGGGATAAGAGCACTGAAAGCTCCAACTACTTTCAATACCAATTGCTTTTAGTTTTGTGGCCATATCTCTAATTTCCATACTTGAAACATCTTAATTGAACAGAAAGTTTGGCATGCAATCTAGTGTTGTGCCATAAACATCTTAAGTAGTAATTTGGATAAGATTATATTCATGTTTTTTCTTTTCTAGGAAAGAAAATAAACCATGTCTCCAATAATACAACCTTTTTTTTTAAGCTTTTAGGATATATATATATATATATATATATATATATATATATATATATATATATAATACAATAGAAAAACCATTAGTTCATTGCAATGAAATATAAGTTATCCATACCTATCAATATCCATGAAGCACAAAGATATGAACTCAACCTCAACCCTATTCATTTATACATGCATCTCCTACCTTGCCTTCAAACTTCCAAGTTTAATTGCAATGTTAATATAATCTATGAAATGTAATTAATTATCATTTCTATTTTTGAATAAGAAAAAAGACAATTCTTATATTTTCTTAAAGTACTCCTTATAAGAGTGTTGTTTTTTATTCAATATCAAAGTTTTTTACAAGTTTTTGCAAAAACAATTGCAATATGTGTTGAAGATGAAACTTTGGAGGAGCAAAAAATAATATGTCAAATGCTTAAATACTTGTAGTAAGAAATAAGATTAATAGTGCAAAGCCTTAACACTAGTCACATTTGTATTTTGTTTAATCATTGCAGCTGCATATATTCTTAGAATTTTGGTTCTTATAGATATATCTATAAGTTTTTACAAAGTATCTATTAAATCTTTTGCTACTCTATTACAATGTTACAACATATAATGATTGCATAGATAAAGAATCACATGCAAGGACTACCAAATAGAATGATTAGATTAGTACAAGAATACAAAATTCTTTAAATGCTTTGTGACCTTACCAAATATTATTTGTTAGTATTAAAGTTTATGTTAGGACTTCCCTACATATTTCAAATAATATAAAGCATTACTATAATCTATCTAATTATTTATATTGGAAAAAATATATCATATTGTAATTAAAAATATATGCTATTTTTTTGGACAAACTAAAATTTGAAGTAGTGGAGTTCTTTTTTCCTATGGACTCTATTGTCAAAGCACCCATGCATGTAGAAAGCAATGGATCTATCTTAAGTAGAATCATAGTCATTATTGTAGTGTATCTATGGTGCATACTTATATCTCAGACATTATTTTTGTATTGTTTTGTAGAACATAGAATGTAATGCAAATGGCAACAAGATTGATTATAATATAGTATTTTGCATCAAAGTAGATCATTTTATTTTCTAAAGATGTAATTGGCTATATGACTTCTGATCCAAATCAATCATACTCTATAAAATAGATATACTCAAAATAAATCAAATGAAAGAATAGTATCATAATGATGCTATAGTTTCTGTCATTGATCTCATTGTGATACATGTGTAAGAACTTTCATGTTGTAAATGAGATATTGTCATGAAATAAGAATTATTTCAGAAATTAAACTTTAATATTTTATAAGACATTTATTTGATGAAGTTATTATTTTATACATGGTTTATTATACTTATATTTGATTGCTAATAAAAAATATTTTATATGATAGCAATTATATGATACATTAAACTTTGATAATCAATAGCTTTTAAGTTTGAATTAGAATGAATTATTTTCTTTATTTTAAAAAAGATTAAATAAAGATTAAATAAAAAAGAGAGATGCTTAAATTTAAATTGTGCTTTATGAAGAGGCCATAACAAAGGTTTGTATTGAAATGTAGAATATAATAATTAAATTCATGTAATTTTTATAGAACATGGTAGAGATATTATAAATGTAAAATTAAAAAAATAATAAAAGGAAGAAGAAATGTGAGAAACTTGTCTAAAAAGACAAACATTTGAAAGAAGAAATGAACATGATAAATTAAAAAATATATATTAATAATAATAATAAAATAAAAATAATTAAAAATAGACCTTATTTATACTATTTTAATATTATTTTTTAGTATCAAGGTTTTAGGTTGTATTATGACTTTTAATAGGGCCTCTTTAAAACATATGTTTTTATTCATCTATAGTAGATGAAATTCTAATTTGTATATAAAAATAAAATAAAAAAGAGCCATATCTTTCTATAATAAAAACTTATAATCGACTTACTTATCATACTAAATTAATATTAATTATACTAATCATAAGTCATAATCTATTCATAATTTTAATTCCACTATAGTACATAATCACATCTTTTAAATTTTGCTCTGTACAGTCTTAAGATTAAGGTTGGACTTGTCCATTGTTAATTTAGACTTCATAAAAGATAGAAGGTGGTTCTAAACCAAGTAGTGATATTGTAAATATAACCATCTTTCACGATCCTATGCAATGCCTAGTTGAAACTTTGGACCATTGTGAATTTGATATTGGATGTTTTCAAGTCAACATCTATGATGTGTTTGAAACAATAGTAGCTATCAAAAAAAATACTCAGGTTGCATCTCTTGATAACTACTTGGATAATATTTTGGTAGGTGTCGATCATCTGCTTGATTTCATTGAGGTGGCTATATTCCTTTTTTTGGGCAATTTTGGCCCAGTTTAGGAGATCCAAGCTATGAAGTGTTGTAGCTATGGACTTGGCAGTGCATCAGAGCAGAAGATCATGGTTAAGTATTATGTCTAAAAATAATGTAATAAGATACTTACTATATTTGGTAATATCAAGCTACCTAATTTGTGGTACCATTATTGGAGTCAAAGTGGTGTATTTTAAGTTAGATAAATTATCTAGCTATGTATATTGTTGGCTTTCAATTTTTACTTTGAAATTTTTATCAATAATTTGTAGCATGGCATTCAATTATAAATATAAAAATCAACCAATATTTTTTTTCATGTTTAAGAAAAATCTAAATATAATAATTATTCCAACTTATTAGCTTTAATAAAGACTAAAATGTTAAAATATTCAATTATATTGAGATATTTCTAAATTTTAGATTTTTTTGAGGTTGTATAAATAATCATATAAAAATAATAATAATAAATTATAGGACTATATATAAATAAATAAATAAATAAAAATAAAATAAAATAAAAGTTAAAAAATTAAAAAATTAAAAATAAGATAAAGAAACCATAGATAATATGTAGCAACATAAGCATGTAATGTACTTATAAAAATTGCAATAATTTATTAAACTTTACAATGGTATTTCTATCACACATAAAAGATTGTATTATAAACCTTGATGTCTTAAGAATCCTAGATTTTATTACAATGGCAAAATAATATGAAAAAAAATATTAGGTAAATTCAATGCAACATCAATAAGTTAGTGCAATAGGTGATACAAAAAGAGCATGTCAAATTGATATTAGTAATACTAAGAAAATTATATTAAAAAATTAAAAATTAAAAAATAAAAAATAAAAAAACAAATGTGTCAAAATTTCAACTAAATGGTATAGTATATGAAGTCACAAAAATATGATAGGCCAATAATGTAACAAAACTATCATTTCTATTTTTTTATATGTTTGATCCAAACAACATTAATAATTAATTTATTTAAAAAATATATCAAAATAAAATAAAAAGCTACATCTTTCTATGATATTGATATATTTAATAAAGATTAGTTTTTTGAATGGAAGTTTCTTTTATTTGAGCTAAAAATATCTTTGATAATATTTCAATAGATGATAGAAATAAATCTAGTATTTTTTTTTATTGTAATATATAATCTTAATACCAATATTAATTCATATCAAAGCTCCATTCCTTGCTATAATAGTAGTATAGTGATTCAATTTGTAGCATTAGTAATTTAAGAATTAAACTTTGATAC